TATATATATATATATATATATATATACCATTTATATATAGCGTTTCAGAATTGCAAAACTTGACGTAATTAGCTTGAATTCAATGAAAGAATTCTTAATAAACGTAAATTTATGAATTAATTGTTTTTCAAGCGTCTTTAGCTTTCCATTTTGCAAGCTAAATTCTTTGCAAGATTGCAAAAATATAGAATCTTCGATATCTTGACAATTCGAAGCACTGATAATTTTTTATGTAATTTTCATATGTATTAGTTTCGTTTATTTTCGTATATTTAGTTTCGTATATTTTCGTTTAGTTTCGTATATTTTCAATATTGATCAGTATTAATTTTTGAATACATGTTCACGATTGTGTACGTGAAGACTCGATGAAGCGTATATTGAATGGCAACTCTGATTTGAACATCCGCTTTAAATTCCGCTTTTATATAGATATTCAATCCGAGTTATCTATAACATTGATATTTAATCCTTACAAGTTCACGTGATGATTTTTCGTGTTCTATTCTTTATTATACGATGAATCTTTCGTATTTGGACTAATTTTTATCACTTTTACAAATGTACAAAAATTATTAAACTATTCTTACGTATACTTTAACATCTTTAGAAAGTATTTATAAGGATATGTGTGGAAAAAAGGAGTAAAAAACATTATTTAGTAAAATGTTCCTAGTATTTTAAAGAAAAGAAATGCAACACACGAATGGTCCAATCGTACAATCATAAGTACTTTAATTCTCTATGATATGTTACTCGTTTCTATCAATATAGATTAATTTTAATTTAACTTACTTTTTATCTTTTTCTAGTTCTAAAAATTAGGAAAGAATAAATAAAAATCGAGATTAATCTACATTGTTAGAAATGGACATAAAATCCATACAAAGGATTTACAAAATGGAAAGCTGAATATCTTTTGAAAACAATTTGTTTAGTAGATTATTTTCGTACTTCATTCTCAAGGTTTTTATTTGTTTTTATATTTGTTATTTCTATCTCGATGTATATTTTTATAAATAATTTTTACGTCTATCCATATAACATATTATTATGACATATCTTAATATATTATAGATATTTACGATAAAATAGTACTTGACGATATTATATTGTCAATTATATTAATATTAAATCGATATAATATTAACTTATGATTTTGAATCGTTCTCGTGGACATTAGATAATATTACTGCATTACAAGAACCAGTCAAATTCCTTAACTGCAGAAACGTTTCAAGTTGTCTCATGATTATCGTCGTAAAGTATTTACGAGCGCAGGATATACTTCTCTTTTACGTATTGCGCAATATCGCGATATGGAAAATCCGTTTCCTGCAACGACACACCCGCGAAAGGGAGTCGGCACGCATTGGAAATAATGCGAATAGGTATAATTAAAGCCTCGAATCGAGAGCACATGATAATACGATCCGTAATACGTGCACATATCCGTGCCGCGGACATGACTAGTTAGTGACACGCGTCAACGTCAATGCACGTGTTTAACTGGCGGAAACATATGCTGCGAACGTCTACGCACATCCGGCGCGCACTTCTCCACCACGCAGAGACACGTAATCCCCGTTTAGCGTGAGCCAATCGCGACGGAGGATCTCGAAAATCTGGTGGATGGACCAATTCGACAACTGCATCAATTACCGACCCAATAAATAGACGTGATAAAAAAATTATATTTTACTTTACTCATTATTCCTTTCATATATAGAAACATTCTTCCACAATCAGATTTTTTTTTATAAATATTTTTTATTATCGATATATGTAGAGTCATTAACAAATAATAAATAGTGAATCTTGAACGGAAAAAGCTCTGCAATTATATATACTGGCACACGAAAATCTCGAACTTCATTATAAAAGATGTTGCGTTTGCCGCGAAGAGAAGAAATTATTATTAGAAAAATTATATTGAAGATAAAGTTATCTGGATAGGTTTTTTTTACATTTTTTAATGATAATAAAAAACAATTGTTAAATTTAATGTCACGATTGTTATTCTTTTATTACTAATATGTTACAATAGAAGCGAAGAAATGTGTTATAAATGAGAATTGGAACGTTGGGTCGTTTCGATCTATCGACAATAAATGGACGATAATGTCAAAGTTTTCCTGAGACGTGTCAGACTATCCGATCTCTTTTGTAGGATGTCATTCTTTTTATTGCTAGCAAAACTCATTGATATTCACGCTAAAAGTACGAGCCACTTTTTCACGCACATAATGATACAAAAATTAATACTAAAGTGCATATATTATCATTTTTATTTTTAATGAAACATAATAATATATTTTTTTATATTTTAAAATATTAATATTCTATTAAATATTTTTAAATGTCAGTAGAATTTTATGAAAATAATATGTTAATAATGATTGTAATGTTTGATCTATGCGAAACACGATTACATTTTATACATATAAGTAATATTCCGAGTATCGAGTACTTATCACACGTGTGCAACAAGAGCGAATTGCATCCATTAAGATAAGTGAAGAGCGAATGCGAACAGCTCGGATGGTTGTCTCTCGCGAGCTGGTAACATGAACTTAATTTGTGTTCCCGGTGGCAGCGCACCAACCGTTAATTCGAGGTCTTCGTTAACATGAGCAAGAGAAAGCCGTCGTCGAGTGGTTGCATACAGGTCACTAACAGGAATTCATGTTACGTACCATACAACTCGACGATGGTGATGACGTGCAATCTTCATAATTTCGTCCCTCGAAAAGACTCCGCACTAATTATATAGAAAATTGGATTTCGATGAATGAGTCGGTTTTTATATATATTGTAATTTATATGTGGTATTGTAATTTATATGTGGTGAATCAAAACTATACATAGCTCAAAATACCTGTACAGCTCAATAATTGCTAATTCTTGAGCTCTACAGGTATATAAAAATGTAAAATTTGTGTTTGCAGAGCACCTTTAATAAACCATAGCTAAAAAACTATCTATTATTGAATCTTATGTCTATGACATCTTATTATAAGTGAAAGTCTACATTATATGTGAAAACTGATTTATTTCATCGAGACCCAATTTTGCATACAGTTAGTGTGAGGTTTACTAATTATATGAAAAAAATTAGATCCCGATGAAATAGTCAGTTTTCATATATGATGTGGTTTATAATGTCTTGAGCAAAAGTTGTCGCAGAGACACAGGCTCAGCAATGGATAATTTCTGAGCTGTGATATCATCATCTATCAAATATTATAGTCAAACAAAATGTTATATATCAAAGGTGCTTTCTAAACACAAGTTTTACACTTTTGATACATCACAGTTTAAGGATTCATTATTTGAATCATGTATATTTTTGTTCATCATATTATAAGCTACAGCATATGTGAAAATTTATTTCATCGGGATCCAATTTTCTATATTTAATGCGGTCTTTTAATGAATACCTAACGATCCATAGGAAACATGTCCATTAATAAAGAGCTTTTGAACAGCGATAAAAGCATAACGCAAATGTCACGTTTGAAAAATTATCTTCTTACTTTATTATCATCGAACATAGTAAAACTAACAGAGAATGGCTGAGGGATTTTTTCTAGTCCGTGTGTTAGTAGCCTCCATGAATTGATTTCTTCAGTTTGTTTATGCCTGCGTATATGCATATGTGCAAGGGCGTAAACACATATGTATGTGTGTGAGGATATCCCACCGACTTGGTTGCCTGGATGCGTAAGCGCTTACGTAGGACGTTTCATTGATCGACACGCTTTTGCGTCATACTCATGCCATACACAAATTCGTTTATGATCGTCATTGTTGAACTGTTGACATTTACTGTTGATATCAAAAAGCGACTATGTGAAAGAAGATTTTAATGGCCTTTTAAAATAAATGATCTTTGTGATCACATTTTTGGTTGGTCGCTATTCATAGCTCTTTTAAAATCATCTTAGGTAATAAGATTTTATTTTTAAGATACTAATACGGCTCTGTAATTGGTTTGATGTTTTAAGATTATACTTAAGATTATACAATTTTAAACAAGAACCGATTATGAATACAGACTTTTATCCTCCCTTTTTTAAATAACAGTAATAATAATAATAATAATCTTTATTGCAATGTATAACATAGTTAATTACAAAGCTGAAAGACGAAAAAAAATACAAAAGATAACATAGTACACATAAATGATGAAGCTCTGAGAAGACTCAATGATAAAAGTAGAATATTAAAAAAATAAGCAAAAGTAAAAAGTAGACAGCAATATCGAATATAATTAATTCGTATACGTGCGATGTGTTTTCTTATAAAACTAGATAATGGGCCACATTGAGAAATTTCGACATTTTTGTTCTCTACAGAAAATCTATGCAATACAAATTTCATATTTAAAGTTTGATTTCGAGATTAATTGTGCCTTGGTGCAATTTGTAATATTGAATGTACTCGTCGATCTTTAACGTTATTTTAATGAAATTCTCAAATTTCTTCACCGAAATTTATTTCGTCCGACCGTACAAAGATATATTTGAGCGGGATAGTTTAGTACATAATTAGGATACCATCATTCGCGCAAGTCCTCGCATTATGTTTCTCGTTATGGCGAAGTAGATTTTAAATTTACGAAAACTGCGTGACATGACGGCATGAATTTCCCGACCGGTCTTCTAGTTAACGTGATAATCGTGCCTATAAGAATCGTGGCGAAAATTTGCATTTTAATTCGTGATTAAAATGCAAGTACGTTGACACGCAATACATAAATCTTAAATTGAGAATATCCACGCTTGTCTATGATTTATAAATATTTATAAATTAATTTATCTCCTCGGTGCTCTTGAGGCAGCAGAAATTAATCAATTTACATAATCATAGAAATGCACATACATTATCCAGTCATTAATAATAATTGCTGCAGCAATTTTACATTTCTAAGAATATTATTAATGTTAAATGTGGTCCATCTTCTTTTTTTTAGGGAAGTTCGAACCGTTGTATTGAATAAGGGCTCTCCTGGTCTGGGCTTTAACATCGTTGGTGGTGAAGATGGTGAAGGCATCTTCATCTCGTTCATTCTAGCCGGAGGTCCAGCTGATCTCAGCGGTGAATTACGCAGAGGTGATCAAATATTGAGCGTTAATGGTATCAATCTCCGAACCGCCACTCACGAGGAGGCTGCCGCGGCTCTCAAGGTGAGATCTTCGGCTTTGCTTTGTTATTATTTAAATAAAATTACATAATTCAGTCATAATTCAGTTTAGTGCTTTTTACAACAGACATAGTATAACACAGTGATCATTTCATCTTTGTTTAACATTGGCAAACAATAAGAATCTAATGATTCACTGTGTTGCACTATCATCTGTGTCTCTTTTTGGAAAGCACTTTTTAGCTTCGGTAAAAAATTATAATCCGTTAAAAAAAAATGTATTATGAAATTTCTCTTGTTAACCGAAATTTGAATTAAAATATTAAATATTGAAGAATGCTGATTACATAAATAATAATTTTGATATTAGGTAGTATTTATAAGTTACTTTCTTCAAAAAATTTCAAAATTTCAAAAGCGATTAATCGAAAATAATGGATATGGATTTTGTTTTGTTTACGTGTATTCAGGGTACTGGTCAAACAGTGACAATCGTGGTGCAATACAAACCGGAGGACTATAATAGATTTGAGGCGAAGATCCAGGATCTTAAACAACAAATCTCACAACAGAATGTAATGACAGGCACCCTCATGAGGACCTCTCAGAAGAAATCACTCTACGTGAGGTAATTATACTTTTGCGATTATTTTTCGCCTCAATCATTTGTCGTATAGGGTTCCAATTTCAAAACCGTTTAAACCGGGATTAGTTATCTGATGTTTTTATATCACGGCGAAAAAATATGAATTATATGAATATTGTCCTTTTTCTTTTTATGCATATTTTCTTTCTTTTTTAATGACTATTCGAATCTCTAAATATCAATTTCATCAAAAATTTGTAATAAAATAGCGTTGTATTAATTAAAATTTTTATTTTTTTATGAATAAAATTTTTTTTCTAAAAAATGTCAGCTATTTTTTTGACTTTATTCATTAGTATGTTTATTTTATTTGTTTTTCTACTTAGATACTTTTTAAGAAAATCGTGAATAAATTCATAATGTTAAAATGTCAACAAAACGAAAAACAATTAATAATATACAATATATTAATAGTGATTTTAAATGAAACTTGAATCACTTAAAGCATCCTCAGTGATCATTTATGTAAAAAAATGATTACTTTCGGAAACACATTTAATTAAAATTAAAGTGAAAATATTTTCTCTCTCTCTCTCTCTCTCTCTCTCTCGTATATTTTCATAACAAATTAAACAGAGTCGTGGCTTATTTCGAGCTTATAATTAGATTGACTTTAAATTAATACAATTAGCATAAGAATGTAAATATTCTAAATATTTAATAAAATAATATAAAAATATAAACGTTTTGACTTACAAAGTCTTTTTCAGTGTACAAAACAAAAATACGTTATTAAATAAACAAACCAATTAAATATCGCATGTAATGAAATATTAAAAAAAAAAACCATCAGTGGTGATGTATCAATTTATATAAAATTCGAATGTCAAAATGTGTTAAGATAGATTACATAAAATAAAAAGAATGACACTGAAGAAGGCTTTGTAAGTCGAAACGTTTGTATTTTTTTATTATTTTATTAATTGTATTTAGAATATTATGTAGTATTTATATTCTTATGATAATTCTATTAATTTAATCAGTCTAATTATAAGCTCGAAATAAGCCACGACATTTAATTAACACAATAGCTTCGCGTATAAATAAATAATTTGTGTAAAATATGAAGGTAAATATGATAATATTTTCTTCCCGAAAGAGCGTTGTTCGATTACGATCCCAATAAAGACGATGGTCTACCGAGCCGCGGCTTGGCGTTCCGTTATGGCGAAATCTTGCACGTGACGAACGCTAGCGACGACGAATGGTGGCAGGCAAGAAGAGTCACTCCACAAGGCGAGGAAGAAGGTCTGGGTATAATTCCCTCGCGCAGGCGATGGGAACGTAAGCAGCGTGCCAGGGACCGTTCTGTCAAGTTCCAGGGACACATGCCAGTCATTCTTGATAAAGTGAGTTGGGAATGTGAAATGGGAATTTCTCGAAGATCCTAATTTTTCCGAAAATAACGAAAAATCATGAATTATTATTATTATTATTTGGGGTGATTATACAAATATAGCGGAAAAAAATTTTCTCTTTTGTTAAAAATCGAAGTAACAACTCGTATTTATAGAAATATCAATGAAATTTGCATATACGGCATAAAAATTATTTTAATCATTATGTATTATTTTAGAAAAATGTAGTTGTTTTAACCTTTTTTTATCTTTAAAATTTTATCTCGATATTTTTTTATATTAATTATAAATTTGATTTCTTATTTTGAGCTTATTCGAGATAAAATACTAAATTTTATAAAATCTGAGCATTATAAGTAATTATAGAACTGTTCAGAATGGATTTTGATTGGAATTATTTCGTTATCCCTAGAAAATAAAATAAAAATCTAGAGAATAATTGAATAATTCCTATCGGAATTCATTTTAAATAATTCCGATAGTACATGATCAAAGTGATAAAAGAATTGATTGACATTATTTCATTATCTTAAATTAAGGAAAATTTTTGATGAAGTTTCTTTGCAGCATAAACTACGGTTTCGCAACATTTTCGCGATGCAAAATAATTCGTAATCTCGTTTGGATAATGTGCGTAATCGAAAATACGTGTCCATTCGACACTATTTCATTTACTCAACGAGGAGAGATGTTTAATTAAATATTTATCGCAATCAATAACCGTATGACCATTTCAACCTGCAAATTTGATAAGGCCAAAGAATTAATTTCAAATTTGCATGGCAAATGTTTCAGTTGTAATGTTTTCTCTCTAAAAGAATCCAATTTCTTCAAAAATGATAACAAAGAGAAATTATAAACAAAATTAATTTATTTTAGAAGATTGCAAATCTAACGTTTTTATTAAAAATTTGTTCAATTTTATACAAAAATTATCATGTAGTTTAATGCTTTCAGATTTCTACACAAACGTTACTTCTGTTTTTATAATACTTTATTTTCTTCAAAGATTAGAATTTGATAAAATTATTTCTCATGAAATGAATTTATTGATGTACAAAATTATGAGATTTATGATTTGTTGATCATAGAAAACTTGTTAATTTCAGCAATCAACTCTTGACCGGAAGAAGAAGAACTTCTCGTTTAGCAGGAAGTTTCCCTTCATGAAGAGCAAAGACGATAAGTCCGAGGATGGCTCCGATCAGGAACGTGAGTGTCTAGAATGTGATTGTTCTCTTTTCCCCTCCTGCACGTTCTGTGCATGTTCTGATCCATATTTACTGTGTTTTAATGTTTTACTCGCCATATGTATTTGCCTATACTTATATCGTACGATTTAACCGCTGAATTATGAAGTTATTCCTCACCCTCAAGCCTCAGGCCGCAGTCTTCGCAATCGATGGGTTCAATTTTTATTAATAATTAATAATTTTATTGATAATTCTACGTTCTGCAGCAAATTCGGAAAGTTCATCTGAGGACATTATAATGTACAAAATGTAACAATAGAAAATTCTTCTTCTAGTAAAGCAACTTTTCGCGTTTTTCTACGATTATCAGTATTCACCTAATTACTTAATGTATATACAATTTCTTTCATAATTATTGTTGTAAAAATGAATTCTTCATGATTTCATAACGCACAATTATAAAAAGAATTGTTACCAAAATCGATGTATAATATGATTTTCCGTGTAAAAATCGAAAATTCAAGCAAATAAAATCATTGATAAAGTCCCAACTTTCGATGCGATGAGCCCCGATCAGACACGCCCAAGTCCCCGAATGAGCTTGTGTGTTTTACAATGTGAAAACGTGACATGTGTTTTGTTTTGCCTGCTTGTGTAGGAACGCCCACCACACCTGAGAATGAGAACGATCCCACCCGTAAGTATCTTAATTAGACATGTAATAAGCTCTGTAAATATGCGCTTTCGCCATTTTTCATATGCAATGACATCAACAGTGACGCAAGCTTTAAAATCCAAATGCTAAAATACGAGAGTTGAGACGAAATTTTAGTGATATATTGAATTAAAGAATAATTACAAAAATTTTGCTGAAATGTCTAAAAATTTAACTAGACACAAAATAATTTAGACGATCAAAATAATTATGTAGAATGCTCAATCTGATTACTAGAATGTTAAAACTTTTTGCAGCGTCGTTAATGCTTCAGCATTTTATGTAATTATTTTGATAGCCTAACAAAATTTTCAGATCAAGATACTAGTTAAACTTTTATGTACTTTAGCAAACTGTTCTTTCCGTGTATAATTTAAAGAAATATTTTTGTTCTAATTGTTTATTCATAATCGAAAAAATCGAAAAAAACCATTTTATGGACATATCTAAACTTTAGCTAAATACAGATCTGAAAATAATTTTGTTGAACTACAAAATAATTGTGTGATACTCAAGGTGGTTGTTGTAATATTAAAATTTTTTACAGTATTATTTATCACACATAAATACTTGAGTTTTATAAATATTTCCATAATCCAATAAAATATTGTTAGATCCGTATTTAGCAAAAAATTTTTAGAACAAAATCATTTTTTTCGTACAGTGAAGTGAAAATTGTTAATGTATAACGATCGAAAGAAAATTGAGAATGCATGATCTTATTTGATTATAATAAAAAATTGTTTGTTTACAGTATTTATTTTTAATGTAATTGGCTTTGTCTCGAATCGAAATCGAGTTTTAGTCTAGATTGAATTTCACAATGTTGCAATGTGCGCGATGTCGCTTGCGGAGAACCATCGTGCATCATTTAATAGCCGTAGTAGCTTCATTTGCGTCCTTCGACCTCGCTTGCGCATGCACGCTGCACCTTGAACTTTTCTGCTTCGTGCAGAGTCTCTAGACTAACATCCCGACACGCTCTTATCTACGCTCTCGACTCCGCTTCTAACTTTCGGCTTTTCATTATTAGAGGTTCACTGATAATCCGTAGAAACGGTCCAGCACGGTAGAGCAATGTTCCTCTCAGACAGTAGTAGTTTACATTCTCTCTTTCTCTTTTTCTTTTTTTACTTTCTTCCACCAAAGGATAATTGACATGGTAAACACGCATCCCATTCATCTCAAAGATCATGTCACGAAGCACATCATCCTCCATCAGATGCATTCAGATAATACCTTCGGATTGATAAAACCGAAAAAAAAATTGTGATTTGAAGTACTAGATGCATGTACGTCGTATTCTCATCATGTTAGATTGAGAAGAAATCTTTTCGAATGACATAATACGCGATTCGATATTTGACATCGTAATAAACGAGAAGATACCCACCACTTAGCTGACGGCGAAAGAAAGAGTGTTACAATCTTGAGTTGTACACACAGCTGATATTGTTTTTTTTCTTTATGTTACGCGATGTTTTTCTCAAGCATGAGTGTTCATAGCGAGCGAGACTTTAACGATTATTTATCGATGTCATAAAAAAAAAAAACACTTTGATACAAACTACGCTTACTACGAGTACCTCTTCAACGTAATGTTTCCACAAATAACATGCAACACATAACGTACGAACATTCCGTGATTATTCCACTAGGAATTTACATTCTTCACGAAATATTTAGTTATGATGATATTTAATTATAACAACCATTTTGAAGAAAAGAATAATTCGGACGATTCAAATTCACGTGTCGCTTCTCGAATCTACAAACACATTCGCATCATGGCCCATCGAATCCATCCCGTGCGTAGCATTGGAATCGCGCGCGCACAGTAGGAGAGAGTTTCTCTGAAAATCTATAGCGCTTCTAATTAATTCTAGCGATAATTAACGGTCGCTTATTTAGTACGCAACGTATACTGAAATGTATTCAACTTGTTATGTTCTAGCATTCATGCTGTGCTACACCCAGGACGACACTAACACTGAAGGTAATCATGTCTCTCTCTTCTCTCTTCATTCCTACACTTTCTATCTCGCTATCTTTAGTTCCTCTTCCCCTCCTCTCTCTCTCTCTCTCTCTCTCTCTCTCTCTCTCTAGTTTTCTTTTTCCTCTCTCTTTCTATACACGTACAATATATCTCTCCTATATATTTTTCCTCACACTGAAGAGATCGTATTGCCTGGGTCAGCCACGCGCGATAATTTCGATCACGATATTGTTTCGCAATTACACAAGTGCTCGAATAGATTAATATTATTAATATAATTAATATAATTAATATTAGTACAAGAATTATGTTAGTATTCATTATCACGTTAATGTTCATTACTTCTTGCGATATTATTTAACATAAAATAAGTGCTTATGTTAACATTCACATACATAGAGAATTCAGCATAGCAGGCTCAAATTTGTTGCAATTATACAACAATGACGCTCCAAAATTTATAATTATAGTATTTGTGAAACGTTCTGATCGAAAATCTCATCCCTTTATTCGTCTACCATCCTTGCGAGAGATATCGATCACGCTTGCATTCATTTGTCAGCAATAATTCAGCAACCAAATATATGATGTCAGCCTTTATTATACGTCATGGGCAGTATAGCATATCTATTGTTTTGTTTCAATGGAAGTATGCATATTCATACGAGATGAAAAGGTCAACTCGAAATCTTCATTAGTTAATAATGATGATGTTCGTGCAGTTAAAGCATATATATAAATTTATTCAAGCCTAAAGAATATATAGATAACCTGCATCTATTAATACACAATATTAATATACAATAGAATAATTGATAAAGAATAATACGATACAAGATGTTAAGAATGTAAATTAACATAAAAAGTACGTTTTTTTATTTTCCTATGTCTCTATGTATGAATTAAAACAGAATTTATTATATAATATTTAAAATAGAGACAATATTTGCAATTTTGCACAATATGATTTCGAATTGAACGTGAAACGTGATTATATATCGAGAGCTTTTGTCACAAGCGCTTTTGTCTATCGATGAAATTTCGCATACGACTCTTTTAGAATCTCATTTTAGGACCTTGATTGTCCGCTACTCTTCCTCCGTCGTCGTCCATCATTCACCTCTCATTCATCACCATTAACATTATTGCCCTTCTATCTCTCTTTATTTTGATCTTTTTCTTTTCTTATTTATTCAAGATTTATCTTGCGCTACAGGGAGTAGAGAAATTTTGTTTCGCGTTCAGCTGCCGTATATGGAAGAACTCACATTAGTTTATCTGGAAAAGGAGGGCGACGAGCCCAATGACGAGCTTAGTAAGTCGTAGCCGAGAGCAAATGTGTGAACCGTAGTGTGAGCGCGATGCGCGCACACAAAGAGCCGATTTGTTTCTCTAGGAAACTAACGCAGATCACAGACGATTGTCAAACCCTGTCAACGGGTGATTATCTTTAAAAAAAGAAAAAAAATTCGTGTAGAATAACCGAATGACGTTGTTTGCAATCCATGTGTCAGCTAACGATCCTTGATATTTTCTGATCTTCCATTAATATCTTCCGCTCTTACGCGAATTTATCGTGGGTAGAGATTCTCAAGTAAGAGATTGGACACTGTACGTTTGGTTTGCCACATTTCTCAGGACTTAGATATCTATCTCATTCTATCTTATTTTTAAACCAATAATAGAAACAGGACGAATGAGAGTACGGTAATCAGTACGCAAAGTAACAAAGTAAGACATTTTTTTTATTACTCCTGTATTCCATAATTAGTGATGTAATTAATTATCATTTCGATTCTCTTTAGAGTTCTCCTCGGCAAAATGTAAAAATAAATGTGTGTCTATTCTTTGTATGTCCTTTGTATAAATTTGAGTCACCAATAAATTTTTATTCTTAAGCATCCTGAAAAATATAGCGCGCTAATTGGAAATTGTCTTGTAGAAATCTAAACGGTATCCAATTTCTATTTGAAGATCTCTAGATGTAGGTCAAAGTCGCAGAAATCGTTTAAATACTGCCGCGGTTGCATAAGATAAATATAATTTGACAGTGGAGAAAGATAATGTGTCAGTATTCTCATCGTGTTTCCGCTATTATCGATTTTACATTATCTTTACGATGTGTAACGTGGCGAGTTACACAACCATCCGTCGATCTCTTCAATTTTTCACTCTTTTATTTTCCAACGATAAAATTCACGATCGAAATTGAAAAGCAATCGCGAGTACAATACACCGGTTTAAGGCACCAATCGAGAAACGTCTGTCTCCTTCGACATCCGTTAATTTTCTTCGGCTTCTCTTCGCGATAAATTACTGACGAGACGCGTTCCGCGTACAATTGAGACGTTGCGCAACATGCTGCTATCACCCTATATTTTCTCGTTTTTCTTTTCTTTTCCACTCTCTTCCTCCTCTTCCTCGATCCTGTAGACATTAACAGCAGCAGAACGCAATTAGAACGCTCAAATAGACGAAAAAAATTGTGTCACTTCTTCTCGTCGCGCTGAACATTGCTCCTCTTCCTCACGTGCGAAAGTTTCGGACCACGTATTCGATTATCGCAATTGAAACCCGAGAAGAAACGACATGGCCACATTAATATTGAGTTCGTAACATGTGTTAGCAGCGCGCGGTATTGATTACAAATGGAGAACTAATAACTAACTTTTCTCTGTCTGTCTCTTTCTCTTCCTCTCTATTTTTCTTTCTTTCTTTCTTTAGCCAAGTATTGGTTTATAGTCGCTATATATACTATCGCCACTTATGCACCTCTAACGTTCCTGGATCGCTTAAATTTTTTAGTCATTAAGAGGTACAGCTTTCCTCCTGCTTTCAATTTCGCCCGAACGCTGAGAGCATGCTCGTGACTCGTCCGACGAGAGAAATGTGTACTTGTCCGAAATGCCAATAGAACTAAGAGCCGGAGTCCGCTTGAGACAGTTGAAGGACAGTTGTCACTGGACATGACTGATCTATCGAGTCATCAGCCAGATATTGTTTCAAGTGGCTCCGACGAACGCATATCGCTCTGTGTGTAACATTGTCCCGCGTCCGTTTCGTGGAATTGTCAATTAATCAATGACATCATCGGAGATCGTCATCGGAGCCTATCTTTCGGAAGGAGAGCCATTCGGGTCGTGTTTATCCTCTTCTTGAATGAATGTTATCGCTTTTTATTTTTCTCTGTTATATCTGAGTGGACGGACTTGTGCGCCAAAGGTTCGGAGGAGATTGCGAGATTGCTTGTAATGATGATGAGGCCTCTATCGAGTCTTCGGAAGCGCGTCGCTGAATCGTGAATATACATTTGATTAAACGATTGCAGGTAGTGAAGAGAACGTGCTTTCGTACGAGGCTGTGCAACAATTGACGATACAATATACGCGTCCCGTGATCGTTCTCGGACCACTCAAGGATCGCATCAATGATGATCTCATCTCCGAATTCCCTGATAAATTTGGCAGCTGTGTTCCACGTGAGTTGCTCGACAATTGAATGATCAACAATAGAGTTTTTCTTATGGAGCTGTATATCAATTTTTGCGCATTTGCCTGCAGACACAACTAGGAGTAGAAGAGAATATGAAGTGGACGGACGAGATTATCATTTCGTGGCGTCGAGGGAACAAATGGAGAGGGACATACAAAATCATTTGTTCATAGAGGCCGGACAATATAATGATAATCTTTACGGAACATCCGTTGCGTCTGTACGAGAAGTGGCTGAAAAGGTACGCATAATTTTAGTAACATAGAATCGACTTTTTATACACTTTACTTACGTCACATTGTATTATATTGATGAGAAATCACCAAAAAGGTTTGTAATTGTTACTTTTATAGGGCAAGCACTGCATTCTTGATGTGAGTGGGAATGCTATCAAGAGGTTACAAGTAGCACAACTTTATCCTATTGCCATCTTCATTAAGCCGAAATCGGTGGAGTCTGTTATGTAAGTTCAATAATCGATCTTTAATACGCACAGATTTTATTGTTATTTATTTTGCTAAATCTAGCACTCGTAATTTTACAGGGAGATGAATAAGAGGATGACCGAAGAGCAAGCGAAGAAGACGTACGAGCGTGCTCTCAAGATGGAACAAGAATTTGGTGAATATTTTACTGGTACGTTTACATTTACAAGACTTTTTATTAAATTCAATTTTATAATTTAAGGGGATTAATATTTCAGTTTGATTGTGTTACTGTAAATCCGGAAGCAATCGATGCATAGTCATATTATATAGCTGAGATAAATTTATTTAAATGTACATATAGATATATATTATATTCCACCTAACTTTGACTGTAATTGACGTTTTTCTCACTTGATATATTTACATAAGTGATCCTATTCTAATCTTACTATCGATTTTAACAAATAAAATTCAAGTAAACTATTTTTATTATTTATGATTTTTTTAATTATTAAAATGCTTATATTGTAATTGTTGCAAATACTCTAAACGTAATGCAACTTATTAAAATTAAAATCAATTAAAATCTGAAAAAATCATGAGAGAAATTAGTATTTGGCGCAATTAAAATATTCTTATCGCGATGATTAAATCGCTATTTATTTGTAGCCGTCGTTCAAGGAGACACTCCCGAGGAAATTTACGTGAAAGTGAAGGAGGTCATCTCCGAGCAATCAGGACCGAACATCTGGGTTCCCTGCAGAGACCAGCAGCTGTGACGTCCTGCCCCCCACGCTCAGCATGGGCCCAACGCCTGGACCCTGCCGCCGAGGCGACACGTTATTCACGATAAATACGATTAAGTGATGCTCTAACACCCTTTCCTAATTCCTTCTTCCCTCCCGTATCCCATATCCATGTAGCACAAAGTCCCTACTTAAGACGCGTAACACATGTAAATCGCCGCAGAGAATTTAAGCCGAAAGAATACTTAAAGACGATAGGACACACGATATCACCAACGATTTCCCTGCGGAGAATTGATAAAGTCAATCGGGACGTGATTTATTCTCCTCTAAGTTCAAAATCTAATAAAAGATTGTTAAGAGGGAAATGAGGAAAACTAAGCATTCGGGCGTGCTCATCGTGTTGAATTTTATCGTGACTGATATTTCTGATAAAAAATGACGGAGAGAAATTCGTAACTTTTATCGCATGATCGTCGATTATTCGTGTGTGTGATCGTCCCTAATTTTATTAATTAACCTCGCGAAAGAATTTAGAGGCGTTGTATGTATGTACAATTGCTCGAGAAGATTAGCTCGGCGTATGCCGAAACCGAATTTGTGGGCAATTTGGAAGAGTTCTCTCGAATTCGACTGAACTATCAGCTACGAAATGCGAACGCTTTTTCGGTCATACTCGGGCACGGTATTTTTTAATGTACTTAAGCGCAATTAGCGCGTCGAGAACGTCGAGCGAATTCGACGAACTCAATTCGAAAAAACGGGGGAATCACGGATAAGAGAAAAAACCGTAGCTCTCCCAGCGACGTTGTGTATGTGTTAATGAACCTCACAGGATTAAAAGAAACAGTAAAAAAAGCAGAAAAAAAGAGAAGAGAAGCCTCACAGGACAAATCTTTAGATGCTAGATACACATAACGATATATAATGTTTTGTACAGCTAGATGACTAAGCCAGTAATTGGGTTATGTGCAACATTATATTTGTGGAGTGGGCGATGCGAGGAGAGAAAAGAAAAACGAGAGAAAGAGAGTGAGAAAGAGAAAGAGCAAAAAATATTATTGTAATTTAAATATCACTACTAAATTATTATTATAGTAGGTATTATTGTAAATATATATATTAATATACTCGCGTGTATCGAGACGGAAAGGCGTAGTAGGTAAAGATAAGAGTCGAAGAAGAAGAGATAGAGGGAGGAAAGACGAGCCTGGCAAGGCTTTTCTTTCACGCGCGTCGGCTTTTTTTTCAGATACATGATGATCACTCAGCATCGTGAAGAGATAAAAAAATTTTTCATGCCGATCATTCGCGCTTTCATAAAGCTTCAGCGCGAGCGTAGATGTATGCTGCTCCTTCGTATCTTAAGATATAATTCTTGGCATCAGATCCAGCAGTTGTTGTTGATCTAGCTTGCACGAGATCTTCAATGTATCCGGCTGAAAGGAAAAAAAAGAAGAGAAAATCATGTTCGTTAATGTACTTACGATTTCTATAGGCGAATCGCGAAAGGTGCGAATGGACAAAACTACGATTGTAACGATACAAAAAGAAAAGAAGACGCAGATACGGCCAATTGAGTTCTATCATAGAATGAGAACTGCATTCACCGAATAATAAGCGAAGATTCTTCATCAATAAATTCGCATCCTGAATAAAACTCAATAAAAAAAAAATATCCCATCGCTTGGCCTTCACTTATTCATCGCGCTACGAGCTCGCGATCGCGTGCACTATGCATGATGCTTTGTCCGCTTGCTCCTTCCGTTTCCGTAGCATTAATCATGCGCGAGAAGGTACGATAATTGATTCTCTCAATGAAACACGAGCGGGAAATCGAATTGTTGCAAACACGAGGTGTTATTACGGTAATTTAATTGTAATATAGCCGCATTGTTGTCGTGATATGGAAATACGAGTCGCGATGACGAAAGACAATGGCGATGATGATGATAATGATGATGACGATGATGATGAGCCAACATATTTGGACGCAACACGCGACGATCACTTCTGTCGCCTGGAATAGAGCCGAACGTTTCCTTTTCCTTATTTCGTAGTAACGTTCACTCGCGAGGAACAATAATATTGCGCGGACACGCTTTCGGGCTATTTTTTTCCTATATCGCGAGTTCTAGATTATTATTAAGCGCGATTATATCATACGAGATAGAATGAGGTACGAAGCGACGAGCTTCGGCTTGTGCCTGAAGGACAGAAGGCCTGGCTTCGCCGAGTTGAAAGATGTCTGTCTCGATGTAAAAGACCGTATATAAAGAGAATAATTACCGCAGATACCTATTATACACCTCTATAGTCTATTTAATAATATTACTTATTAAATTGTCAATCTCATGTTCACCTTGTTTCATCGTTTTTAAATAGTTAATAAACGTTTTACCAATTTTATTACTGTAGTTTGGTATCCCCATCCTTCTTTTTCATTCCTTATTTTTATTTAGAGGATACAGAAATTATAATTAATATTTTGATAAAAGTAAAAGAATATTTTATTAAAAAATTAATTGCTCACATATTTGTAAGTGACAATTTATTTGGTATAACGTATCTTCAAAATCAATTTTAAATTTAAAAGTTAATTATCATTTTTAATATTGCATCTTATTATACATAAAAAAATTAAAATCTTGTTATATATTTAATATGTATGTTCAGTGTTTTAGCTGGTTTTAGCGACTAAGTGATTGGGGTTAGTGAATAGGAATAAGAGTTTCAGTAAAAATACTCGTTTTTATTACATCGATTGGATAACTCGTTATTGTTATTAGCGAAAAAAAATCACAAATATTTTTTTCTTCATTTAGAAAGTTATTCGTCGGGTCCATCATGACTCGCTTGTAACGACTACGGCAATGACAATAATAACGATTTCCTCTTTACACGAATCACAGTAAGACTCTAATTTGTTCATCAGCTTCAACGTTGTTTCGAACTAAATCTCTGAAATAAAATATATATTTGTATATAACTTCTGTTTTTCTTTATCCGCATTAAAGCAGCAGCATTAACACATTTAGAAGTTTTTTTTTTTTAATATATAAATACAAGGAGGGCAATAGAAGGGAGAGGCGTTGTGTGAATGTTACACGACTAAGAAAATTTACATCCATCGTTTAACTACTATGTATATATGGTACAATAAAAAAGCGCGTAGTCATAGATGATAATAGTAGTAGTAATAATAGTAATAGTGGTAGTAGTAGTAGTAATAATAGTAATAATAGTAGTAGTAGTAGTAGTAGTAATAGTAATAGTAGTAGTAGTAGTAGTAGTAGTAGTAGTAGTAGTAGTAGTAGCAGCAGCAGCAGCAGCAGTATTGATAGTAGCTATAGTTGCGGTAGTAATAGCGGAGTACTATAGTATAATAGTAAATAATATTTCTAGTAGTCGCAACATATATACATACTTAATTCATGTCATACAACGTGACTAAATCGATTAATGTTTTATATTATACACAAATAGTATATGCTATTATGAACAAATACCGCGGTCTACTTACATTTTAACTACTTAAGAATAAAAGATACAGTACGTACATACCACGGATTCTTATCATTCTGTCAGACAGAAAAGTAATTTTTCTGCGTTTCACTCCTCTTTATCTTTATTTCATTTTTCCTTTCTGAAAATATGTATATACAATCGGCAAAATGTAACCGCGCCCCTATCCACTTGACATCGTTTATTAAATAAAAATTATAAGGAGTTGCCCGAGTGCACGCTGTCGCTTGCGCAACAAATCGCGTCGCATCAACATTAATTAATATCACTCAATATTAATTAAATGAAAGGAACGATTTTGCTAAAGTTTTTACAAATTTACAGATACACAGAGATCTAAAAATATTTCATTATTATTAAAATAATTAAAATAATAGAACTCTTACGGAGTCATAGGTACCTAGGATTCAAAAAATCAAACTTTTCATATATTTTTAAAGTTTGATATCTTAAAGAACATTCCTGTACTGTAATTATAAATCAGTCCAACAAGAAACAGAAAAGTTACACAAAATTATAGTCGAGCGCGCTAAACAATTATACGTATACCCAAAATAATCTTCATCAAGCCTTCGAGCAGCAAAAGATTTGTTTTATGGTCCTGTGTGGAATAGGTCATTATAAATGTAAAACTTTAAACGCATTTTTTTTCGACATGCTTTTGAAAATGTATGATTATTATATCTTGAAAATGGCTTGACCGATTTTTAATCACTTTTTCTAGACATTCAAAACTGGTTTTTGACATAGGATTTTTAAAAATGATGCTCCGTTTTTTATCCGCAATCAAAAAATAAACAAAATTTTTGATTAAAAAATTGATATTTGACTAGCTGTTATTTTGTTCAATATTTCGAAAAACAGTTACGTCAAATATTATATTTATGTTTCAACTTTAAAGTTTATGTCGTTTTGTTTTTAGATGAATTTTGTGGAAGTGAGTTAGCAAATATTTTTTAAAACAAGCTTTATAAGAAAACGTTAACATCCCCATTTTTATTACTTTTTAATAAAATTTAAATGACAAAGAAAAAAAATATACTCTTTACGGTGAAATAAACCCGACTTCTTTATCTCTTTTCGTTTTTCTACAAAAAACTTCACAAAATTATAGTTTATTTTAATACATCTAGATACTCATGTTCCCTTGAGCTGATGACAATACTGCAAAAGTTCTGACATTCTCCAATCGGTTTAAACATCCTATATCATTATTTTGATAATCTTAACGAAATTATTTTCAAATCAATATCTAACTAAATTTTTACATACTTCGATAAAATCGTTCTTTCATTAATTATATCAATAATATTAACGATATTAATTAATTATCCCTTGTAATGGGATTTTTTTTCTTCAACTAGCTACTATACACTCATACGCACTGATACGCGTCGCTTGCACGAACACACGCATTGGCATACGCATCTGTAGTCAGTACACTACCAAGTTATTTTCAAGAATACACGTGGATTTTTCCCTGAGACTGATTATAACGATTGAAATCTCTGTGCTGCACATGGCGTTAAAATAAACGCGTTTTACAGCATTTCTAAGCATCCTAAACGAAACTGAGCTATCTGGCCGCATCCTTTTTTTCTCATCTCATTTCTACACATACGCTAATATCTTCGTCCGTCCAAAAATCAATACAGGAACGTCGCGAGACAATAAGTACAATCGATATATTTTCCCCGAATTGGTTCCGTCCAAGTTTAAAATAATTTCTCACCTTTCTTATATAAAATTTGCATTCCTAAATTGCTTTAATCAAACACGGCATCGCTTTGATGATCGAAACTCGCTGATTTATCTCTTCTTTAATTCTCAAAATTCTATGTATCGAATTAGTTACAATAACAATTAAAAAAATTTTATTAGATATTTTTCCATTTGACTCTTTCTTTATTTATTATACTTAATTGCATTTTCTTGTACTCTATACAAAGTTCTCTTCTTAATTTTAGAGGTTCTTTTGTTAGCGAGTCTCCGATCGTCGATATGACGCATTAACATTATCCTGGTATAATCACAAAAACAGAAATAATTTGAAGACAAAGTGTAAAAAATGGATATATTATTGCACAGTGAGCGTTTTCAAACGGCATTTTTTGGCCGCTTTAGTCCTTCAAAGTAATTATCTATCTTTTCTAAACTCTTAGAAATAATCATATATTTACAATTAGACCATCAACGAAACAAAAATTTATTTCGCGAATTGCACTTCCCATATTACAAAAATTGAGCCATTGACACCTGCTGAATCTATATTTTATTCAAATTAAAATTAATCGCTACACACAATGGAAGCTGTTCAAAAACAAAGAACTTGTATAAATTAAAAGTTGATTTTTTTGTGTATATTATGTACACACAGCTCCATATAATTATACGTATATTTGTATATATATATATTATGTACTTATATACATATTGTAATGTATATATAATGTATATATAACATATATATATATATATACATATATGTATATATAACATATATACATATATATATAGATATACATACAAATATACATATACAACTGTATATGCAACACAGAATATTAAAAATAGTGAAATACTAAAAATAGAACTAGACAACAGATATGCACCTTTAATATGTGTGACGATGTCTTCTTAATGGATCAAATATTCTGAACTCAATGAATTGAAATTCAACTCATTTAGCGTTTCAAGCACCTATTCGAATGGTCAATTAACACATTTCATAAATATAACTCGCATGTATAATATACAACTCTTTTATAACATAAGGAAAAAACAAAGACTAAACTGTGGTAACGTTATCGTTCGCGATAGTAATTATGTTACATTCTTGACTCTTCCAATGACGCGTTCGGTAATAGTTCAAAGAGGAAAATTAATATTAACGCACACAAGCGCGCATTTTAATTCTACAAATCTCGGAGAGAAGTCCCTTAAAAACAGAGAAACTTCTTGAAGCCACGTACGAGATAAAAATATATCTGGTATGACAGCTATGTTTTCTCGCACTCTTAATATAATTATTACTATTTACGTTATTATTATTTTTATTATTACTATTCCGAGACTTGGTTCGACGATTGAGAAAATCTACTCTCAAAGAATTCGTTTTCCCGTCGCCTTAATCACCCACAAAACAACATGTCTCCCTCTTTTCATTCGCTTATAAACGTTACATTAACAAACTTCTG